AACTAATGTTTACAAATGGAACCGTACTGTAAAGTTGCCAAAATAATAACTCATTCCTAATCACTTTGAATTTTATGAGAGCTGTTACCTTGTATTAATTTTTCATATGAAAGACGTAGTGCATATCTGCTGGGTAATTGAGTGTGTACTGATAAGAGCTCTATCTCTGCATGATAATCACTAAAGAGAGCTTCAAAAAGAAAGTGCCGGTAAGCTTTTTGTCTATCGATCAAACAACTAGTGAGCTGCCTGCCTAGGAACTGTGATGCATAAACATGCTATCTAGATTTTGAACTAGGGGCCTGATAATGCTGCTGTCCTGCGCAATGACACAGCAATGTGTCCAACACCCTGAAAGTGAAATTTACCTGGGTTTTATCACACATTCATCATTTGCGTCTGGAACAAGGGTGCAATAAAAATGCAAAATAATTAACCAAAGTGATGTGTTCACAAGTTTCCAAGACAGTTTCACTTTCACATTCACATTATAGAAACACATTTTGTTAACTAAAACTTAATTCAACTGCAGAAACAATGAAGAAACACACAACTGTCGTGACAAACTCAATCTAAACTGTAGGCTACATGACTCGAGGCCTGAGCTGATGACACAGCTGTTGCACTGTTACACAGCATGATCAGCTCTGTGTGAAGCTGTGAATGCACTGAAAACTCAGCTTATGTAAACGGGTCACAAATCAAGATGTGATGACCTCTCACCCCTGCTGAATCTTTGACGAAGTAGCTGCCGCTGGAGCCCTGGTAGATGCGCTCGGGGTAGTTGCCCTCCTCGATGGCCCGCTCCGCCTTCCGGATGATCTCTCTGAACTCCGGATCCTCCGGGAACTCGTTCCTGTGCGGGTCGCGGGCCGACGCGCCTCGGTCTCGGTCCAGGAGCGGCTGTCGCTCGCGGCTGCGTCCGGGACTCCCGGCCGGCAGACGCACCACGGAGCCCGGCGTGCCTCCAAATCCGCCCCGGGGACTGGTCGGCTCTGCGGGACCGTAGCTGAAATCGTTGGAATCGCGAAGCGGAGAGACTAGCGGGCTCGTCTCGTCCATGGCGGAGAGAGGAGGACAGAGCGGGGATAGGGGGAATTACCCGGGACAAGCGTTTATTTGTCACCGTAACGAAACGATGCGGCTCCGTACAGCAGATCGCCAACAAACAAATCACATGACAGCTAGCTTCCGGAAAGAGGCGGGGCTAAAGCGTCATCGCAATGCCACTGACCAATCAGCGCTTCAGAACGCTCTTGTTTTTCTACATGTAGAAGGTGATTGGTTAGGATTATACCACCCACTTCGAACACGTGATAAAGCACAACACCACTGGAGTCAATGCACAGAGACACCGCGACAATACTGCGATATGTATTTGATTTCAGACTCTTCCAGTAAGAAAGCTGTAAAAACTGTGAATCTTTTTAAAAGGTACATTATTTTCTTGCTCCCTGGGCATGTAGTATATTAATGCCATTCTGTGTTTCATATATTATAATACAAAAATCTAAAAAGTGACACTATTGCAGAAAAAAATGTTTTTAAATGACTTTTTAAAAATATTTAATTATGACTAAGGAAACGCGAAAAGCTATAAATTATACATAAACGATGGCAAAGTTTAAGGCTTCTCTGACATTGCTTTATTTTTGCATAAAAGCTGCGTAATGAACGCTACATGCGAATGTGGCTGTACACATTGCTCTATATAATGGAAGTGGATGGGGACTACCATTAAATACTCTATTTTTATAATAGTCTATCTATTCAGCTAAATAGTTTTTGTGTTTCATGAAAGAAGATGTCATACATAATTAAAGCGTCGTGGGGTTGAGTAGACGACAGAATTTCATTTTTTGCTGTGAACTGTTTCTTTAAGAACTGTCGCCTGTTCCACTAAATAAGGCATTTTCTGTCAATCAGTGAAGTTAAGCACGACGGACATCCACAGCTTCAGCATTCTGAAGCAATGATCTGAATGGCTCTCTGTCGGGAAGAGTTCGCCGGGTGCTGCTGTGCTGGAGGAAGATTACTGTGATGACAGAGTCACATGAAGCGTGTTGTAGCAAGGGGAGGAGATGCGGAGACCCTCATGGAGACACATTCACATCATGATGCGCAGCTCATATGATATCTGACTTGAGATGTCAGTGCAGTTACTGAGCAGATCAATGGCTGCTGATGTGGAGGAGGCAGAGTCAATGAGCTCTCCTTCAGCCTGCAGAACCTCCAGTGTCAGGATGGGTGAGAGAACTTAGACTTTTTACATTGATTTATTTTTTTATATTTTGAAGGAATTAAAGTGATATTAAAAGTGCATTTTCCCTATGTATGTATATATATAAGGCTAGTTATTTCACATTTATATATTATAATTAATATTGATATTTGTTGTGACTATTTACTATAGTTATTATTAATTATTAATCATACTGTTCATATTAATCTATAATAATATCTATAAAACTATTTTGTTATACAGATGGAACTGCCATATTTACATATAAATGTACCCTAAATAATATTTAAAGTGATCACTAAAGTGGTCTCATATAAATTGTCAGTGGTCAATTTTAATACACATTTTTTTACTGGGTCCTATATTGACACCCATTGACGCCTGAATGCATCAGCCCGCCGCTCAACACCCTCTCCAGGGAGAGAGAGACGCCGACAGGTCTGGACAAGAGCTTCACACACACACACACACACACACACACACACACACACATGCTGCTTAATTTACTCTCCTCTGAGGACACTTCAAAGTCAAGCTGTTCCACCTTCTTGTGTTTGCACAATTAGATTAGTTTTATCTTATGATTTGTTTGATCAATGTTTTTGAATCCTTAGCTTGTCACCTCTCTTCAAATGTTTCTTTCTTAAGATCCAGTGTTGAATGCTTTCAAAAACACACATTTGCATGCATATATTTTAATGCAATTTACTGTGAATTTTCTCTTAGTATTGCTAATTATTACACCAATTATTTCACTTATTTGTTCATTCTATATTGCCCCAAAAACAAATTAATTTACAAATTAGATACAGTTTATAGATACATTGTATATAATGGAAAAACTTGATTATGGCCATTTTACACACATTTTGCATAAAGTAAAATGTTTTTTAAAAATATCTTTCATAACATAGTTGAGAATCGTCTTTATATAATGTTTGGTATAAAAAATGAAAATTGATTTGTGATTAAAACAAAAATCCCACTGTTTTCGCCTTTTCGTGTCTATTCATGTCTTTTTATTTCTTAAAAACAGGATTTATTAAAGTCCCAATGTCTTCTACAGAGGACATGGCATAACATATGAATAAAATATCATAAAAATATATATAAAAAACATTTTTTCAAAATTTTTCTTATGCTCTAAACAATGTAATGACATGACAAAATACTAAATTCACAAAACAGTTTTTTCCTGGTAGTCAGGAGGATATAGCTACATGTAAATGTAATATGCACCTAATTATCCACCTTATTTTTAACTTAAATGTGCGCAACTTCCGGTGTCACTCACTTCCAGTTAATTTATTTGTACAAAACATTCAGTCATGCTGCTTGATATTGCAAACTGGAATTTATTATCATGTTTTTAATGTATTATCATACTTATAAGCACACTGGTTTGTAGTGCAAATAGATTGACCGTTTACTGCACTTTGTTATTCTTAGTTCTAGTGCAGCTAATGAAAAGTCTCGCACATACACAGAAAATTGCTTAATTCCGTGTAATATAATAAGGTGGATCTGTGTGTCTTGGCATGATGTTGGTGCTTTGCACTGTATTGTTTTGTAACTGGGTCAAGCTCATAAAGGGCGTGTTTCATTGCACCTGCATTCAAAGTGAAGGCCTCAACATTTGTCCCGCAGAAGCGAGTGCGCGTGCGTCTCTCCAGTGGATTCTGCACTGCAGATGAGGCAGAACCAGCGGGCCGAACATGGAGACAGTACCGCAGTGACCCAGAAGAGGACGCCACATGGAGACAGTGACCCAGAAGAGGACGCCAGCCACCCACCAGAGACGGTGAGGAGGCGATCATGCACGAACAGAGAGTCAGAGAGTACCAAGATGCTTGTGTTGTTTGTTTTTCACTCTCTGCTCGTCTGCAGGCGGCTGTGAGGCTCGGACAGCTGACGTCACGGCGGAAAGCCCCGCCCACACGCGTCACCCAGGACGCCGTCAGTGACGTCACACTCATAG